TCTACAGAAAATACTTGGTTTCCCTAAATAATTGCTCCACATCTGGAAATTGCTGGACCACCCAAGAAACAATTCAGGTCTAGAGAGGAGAGAAGTGGCTAACACTTCTGCTTTCCTTACTCATCCTGTATAGATCTGATTTTCACCAAAATAAAGATTCTAGTGCTAGTTGTTTATTTAAGAGGGAAGACAGGAAAGAGAAGATAAACCAACCACCTGATAGGAGATTGTGTCTAAATCCCACAGGGAAAATCCAGGAAGGGATGGAACACACACGATTCATTATCCCTCCCAAGAGGCAAGGGAGCTGGGGTATTTAGTGGTAGGGAAATTCTCCTTGGGAGAATTAACTCCTAGGCTTCTGTGTGAGTACACAAAGCAGAGGAAACTTCTGTGGTTTGGACAAAAATCCCTCAGACTCAGAGATGGAGATACTGGCAGCTGGAGCTGGAAGACACAGATGTGAAACGTGAAAGGGCTGCGTTGGGGACAAGGGTGTTGTCTCCTCTAAGCCTTGAGATGTGTTCAGAAAGAGACTGGTCTCCAGAAGTGCTTCTAGAATAAACAAAGCCATGGGCTGTAACCTGGCCTGATGCATCTGTATGCAAGAGAGGAAGCAGAGGAACTTGAGAACTTCTTGGAAACATGCAGATCACAAAGATAAGGGTGAAGAAAGGGCTGGGCCATGGGAGCCCCTGAGCCATTTCTCCTTCCTTGAGAAGTTGGGAGGGACTGAGAGAAAGACTGAGGTTCCTTTCCAGAATGTTCCCTCCAGGACAGAGGGCCTGAAGTTTCTATGCCATGTGTCAGTGTAGGAGCAGGGGGAAGAAGAATGAGAAACTGAGGAGTAGGACAGGGATGTGAAATTTAAAAATATTTATTCCTTAATTTGAATAAGAGAAGGAAGAAGTCTGCAAGCAACAAAAGACTCTATCTTGTTGAAAGAGGTTTGCAAGGTAGCCATAGAAATCCGTATAGAGACCCTGGTCTTCTTCATCTATGTGGTACCCCTTTATGATCAACCCTTTAGATCACTTTCCTCTCTGCTCTTCTGGGCCTTCCAGCACTCAGATTCAGCATCGTGGAACTGAGCTCTAAACTGCCCTGTTATATGTAAAGACCAAGGAACTCATACAAAGTCACAATGACTTTGCTGTGATCTGAATACTTGTGCTCCACCAAATCCTCTTGTTGAAACAGAAAACCCAGTGTGATAGTAGAGAGTGGCAGGCCCTTTTAGAAGATGGTTAAATCAGGAGAGTGTAGCTCCCATGGGTGGAATTATTACTCAGATAAAAGAGGCTCAACAGAGCTCATTGTCCCTTTCTCTATGTGAGGACACAGCTAGGTGGCACTGTCCATGAGAAAACAAGGCCTTATCAGACACTGAATCATCTGGAACTTTGATCTTGGAGTTTCCGGCCTCCAGAACTGAGACAAATAAATTTCTGTTGTTTATAATTTCCCAGTGTATGGTGTTTGGTTATAGTAGTGACGAGAGACCAAGACAGGCTCACAGGAGAGAAAAGATTCTCTGTACTCTAACAATGCAGAGGCAAGAAAGCCGTACCAGATAGGTGGGTGGCTCTGTCCAAGGTCCTGGGTTTCTTCTCTCTTGTGGGATTCTGTCCTTGCTGTCACAGCAGCTCAGGCCATAACTTTGCAGCTCCCAGAAAGGGAGACATGGGAGTCAAGCTACTTATTTTGAAGCATGTGACGAGGAAACAGCTTGTCATGTCTGCTCGCATCTTATTGGTTAGAATGTGACCATATTCAACTGTACTGGGGGCTGGGAATTATGTTCTTTGTGCCTTTCCAAAACTGGGAGGGGGATATGATTTTATTACTAAAAAGAAGAGTAAAATAGGGGAACAACAATTGGAAACAAAGAAAAATTCTAAGATAGTTTCGCATCTTCTTGTTGACAAATTTCATAAAAGTTCACATCCTCTATATTAAAATACAATATGTGTATTTTATTGCATCATGAAATTCTGCTTCTTATAATTTTCACCTTGTTACTGGGATATGCAGGAGATAAGCTTAATTTTTAAATTAATTTGATTATGAATGTTGAGTTTATTTTAGCTGTATGAAAGCATGCTCTTATAGATATTGTTAACTAATGTTCCAAGGCAGATTTTATTACCAATTCTGAGGTTTTTTTCCTGAATGGTACTGAGGACTGAACCCATGGACTTGTATATTTAAGACAAGTGCTCTGTCACTGAGCTACCTCCTTTCCATTTCTTACTTTGGATGATGTTTTCCTTATCTTATTTTTATTTACATGCATTTTAAAACTTCTATTTCTTCTATACTAGTCTTCACTTTTGTCATGTAATACTGATTAGAATATAGTGTGACTAAGGGTAAACAAATACTTTAATATCTTCTAAAACTAAATAATGGTTTGGAACTCAACTTGACATAAGAAATATCTCTGTGTTATCCGTGATCTGAGATGGAGACCATCCCCAAACCTGTTCTAACTCTGGGACCATCTTTGGTCTTTACTGTATCATTGGAAACCTGGTTCAGTCTCATGGCCTGGCATCCAACATGGAGTCTTGTACAGTTACCACTGGAATAGATGCTTGATAAACTTCTACTGAATGAAATAGGCCACTCAGAGCCCACCAGAAATTATAGGTCCTTTGGCTCAAAAATAAACTAAGCTGGTTTTAGTCTTCTTTTCCAGGGAAAAATAATTTTTTGTTGTTTATTTATTGACATGAATAATGGACTATGTACTATAAATAAATAAAGTGCCAGGATAATGCAACAGAAATGTAGAAAAAACAAAATTTTATATATCGTAAATAAGGGGATCTTTTAAACTATAAAATATGAGTAACTAAACAGGGCATAGTATTATAAACTCTTGAAAGTGATAGTCACAGTTAATTAGCTTTTGTCTTGTTCCTTAAGTCACAGGACAAAGAAGTAACAATTTTTCCACTCACAGGGAATAAAATAAACTATAGCTTTTGGGCAGTCCGTACTTTAATAGGGAACAAATTCACTTTGACAGTGCAGAGAGTGAAAATTCAAGAAGACCTAGCTTGAGAAATACTCTTTACACAGGTTTTGCATATAAATGATTCAATAATTACAGTGCATCTCTCCACATTTTACTCTACTTGTGATATACCCTGGGGAGCTTAGCAAGGATTTTACAGCATAGAGCCTAGTGAATTCAGAAGACCTTGGGGGAGAACACTTTTTTTATTCAACTATTTCTCTATTGCTTAGCAGTAATATGTTGGGATATTATGGAACTTCTTAGCAGACAGCAGAATGTCATAGAACTAACTTATGCTATCTATCCCTTGTTAATATCAAAATTTATTTTCTAATGTTTTGGCAATGCGGTCCCACTTTCCTTTTTTTTGAAACAAATTCTTTTTTGAAAACAAATTCTACTTTTCATTATTCAGTCTGCTTCTTTATTGTAGGTCATCTGGCATTAATTCCATGTATGTAATTTTTCTTTACTTTCCAAACATTTTTAGATTGCAATTAATCTTAGTAATTTCTTTAAGCTATATCACATGATGCTTTTGACACATAGAATCCACCACTATTTAGCTTTCCAACTTTTTAACAGTCCTGAAATTTATTTGTCTTAGGTTCTTTTTTGTATCTTAACCTAAAATTGAATGTTTCCCAAAAGGCCTGTGAGGTTGATGGAAATTATAGCTTAGTTGATGGAAATCCCTCTTAGGTATGAAAACACTTGGGTAGTGGGAATGATTTTATTACATTTTTATAACTGATAATCAAGAAATTAGTTTTTTTAAAAGAAAATCAGTCTCTTCAATTAATCCTCAACTACATAAGCCTACATCCCCATCTATTATTGATTTACAAAGTAGTTTGATATACACAAGTAGTAGTTTTAATTTTAAAAAATTAACCTGGAGTTTCTAAATGCATATTTTGCTAAGTGTTTACATCCATTTTCCTATTAAAATGGAAACTGGTACAACTTTAATTCATTACCTAAAGAGAGAATGACCAATTTTATTCTCTGATAGCAGCTCACAAGTGTAACAAAATGCTAAATTCATTCATTTTGAGTAGTAGGGCACTGGAGCTTGTTATATTATTCTTTGTAATACTTGGTAGTACTTCATACACTGTAATTTTCCGTAAATAAAGTAGACAGTTCTGCCCCAAATTCTCTGACTTTTTGGATGAGTAGAGAACAGAGTTCAATCCTGAGGCAAAGAAGAAAATGTGCCTATTTTAGAGAGAAGGAAGATAGTGTGGGTGACAGGAGAATTAAAGAGGGCATCTTCACGTTAATGGAGGTGCAGAAACAAGCAGTGCGTTAGGATGCCATTTAATCAGGGTGTTTTCTCTAGAAACCAACTTTGAAGACAGCGGGTCACCTGTCCAAGAAAGGTGTCCCTTAGGGCCTGTGCCTGTGACCCTCCCTACAAAAACACCGTCTGCCACCTAGATTTGATGCTGGCCTTTCCACAAGCTGTGTCTAAAAGTACATACTTGTCATCTACCTAGTTCACAGTTTTCAAAGAACCTTGAGTAAGATTCAGACAATAAGGGGGGAAAATCCGTGAGTTTTCCTTGCTGTCTGAGTTGTTCTGGCGCTTTGAAAATAGGGTGATGGCACTCAGCCTGGCCCAGTGGAGCGGCACCAAACTCTGGGTTCTCATCTTCCTCCCCCCACATCCCTACTTGTGTTTTCCAAGGTTCGTTCATTGTCATTGTTAATTTTCCACGCGGCAGGCTGTCGGATTGGCAAGCAGCAGGCCGATGGCGCTGGCGGGGAGCAGGGGGAGAGGAGAGGGTCGCGCCCGGGGTGGCCGGGGCCGGGCGGGCGCAGAGAGCGAGCCGCCGGCAGACTGCAGTGCGCGGCCCTCCCCGGGCTGGCTGGAGCCTCGCTGGTGACGAGTGTGAGAGCACGTGGCTACGTCATGGAAAGCCAGTCTTTTCAATGCAAACTTCAACTCCTCCTCCTCCTCCCTCTAATGCCTGTAACTCACATCCGAGGCTGGGCGAGGAACGGAGAGGAGATTTTCCTCATGCTCACGGTGGTTGGCATCTGGAAGAGGGAGAGGCCGGAGGAAGGGGATTCGTGGCGCCGTCCGCCTACTACGAGACTGACCCGGGGAGGGGGCGCCTAGATTCGCACCTTTTCTTCTTCGTGGGGATTCGGAACTGCAGGTTCAACCCGATCCCACTGAACCCTGGAGATTGATTATAAAAAATAATAATCGACACTGGAGAAGGGAAGCTGTGTCCTCGGCTGTCTCTCCCGGAGGTGGTATTGGTGTGTGAGTGTGTGTGGTGGTTTTTTTTTTTCCTTTTCCTTTCTTTTCTTTTCTTTCTTTTTACTCTTTTCTTTTTTTCTTTTTTTTCCTCTTTTTTTCCCTCCTTCTCTCCTAGGGGCTCCACAATGGCAGTCTTCTCTCAGTAAGATGAATCCTGCTTCGCTTCTGCTGCTGACCCACCCATCCTCATAGCGACCAAGTGAAAGGCTATGGTTTTCTCCCCGATTAGTTTTGATCTCAGTTGGGATTTCTTTGCTTTTTTGTTTGGCTTCATGCTGAAAAAGGATTTTTCCCCCAACCCGTTGGTAATAATCCAGTGGTGAGCAAAGGGGGATAAATCATTCACCCTGGCCGAGAAAAAACAATCGCTGAGAAGTCTCAAAGAAATATACCACGTGAGGGGAAAAAACTGGGAGAAGATCCGGAATATTATCGTTTTTCCTATGGTAAAACCGGTGCCCCTCTTCAGGAGAACTGATTTCAAATTATTATTATGCAACCACAAGGATCTCTTCTTTCTCAGGGTGTCTAAGCTGCTGGATTGCTTTTCGCCCAAATCAATGTGGTTTCTTTGGAACATTTTCAGCAAAGGAACGCATATGCTGCAGTGTCTTTGTGGCAAGAGTCTTAAGAAAAACAAGAACCCAACTGGTAAGCGAACATGCATCGTGTTATGTTTTTCCTCCTAATAACCTGTCTGTTGCTCACCGAGCTAGCTCTGCAGTTCTGCTATGCAGGAAGGCAGGGGAAACATACAAGGAGCCGGGACAGTGTTGCCGATAGAGGTGTTGCATGGATAAACAAGTAGCCGCTGCTGCCGGATCCGTGTCTGCGAACCCGAAAACCCATGATCGGCGGCATCTCTTGGTTGTGACACAATCCATCGCTAGGAGGGAGGCGGAAACTTCTTTTTCTCTCTTCTTTTTCTCTCCCCTTCCCCCTAAATGCATTCGGGTGCTGAGGTCTGGTGGGCTAGCTCAGGGCTATGGCTGAAGCTGGTGCCCCAGGCAGCTGGAGCTTTGGGTAGTTTGGGGGGGAGAAGGAACCCCGAGCTCTCCTTACTTTGTGCTCCTGGTGTGGGGACGGCGCTGTAGACTTTGTGATGAGCTTGCACAATATTCGCCACCCCATCACCTTTAGCGAAGTAAGCGAGGCCCCCTCCCCGCGTTAACTCTTTCCCCGCCTGCCTCCGACTCCTCCAGCGGCTGGGAACCCTTGAGGCTAGAAATACTTCTGCCAAGGAGAGCAGCCCGGCACCCCTAGGCTGTGTCATTTAATCCCCCCACCCCCACCCCCACCCTGTCTTTAAAAAGCAGGGTCAGCTCCCAGCGTCGGGTCCCCCCGGGGCACGCGCCGATCTGGGGTCCCCGCTTTCTGCCCGCTTGGTGATCCTGCGCCCCGATTCCAAAGGGCTCCAACAGGGAAACTTGCAGTGCATTACATAAGAAATGCAAATGCAGGTGATCGGGGGAGCCGGGTCCCCGGGGCTCCCTTCCCCGAGCGTCTCCGTCCGAGGTTTTTGGGGGCGTCAGTGGAGCCGTGGGCGAGCGCCCGGGGGCGGCCAGGCGGGAGGGCTGCGCGGTGGCGGCGGCGTCCCCATCCCTGTCCCCGCTGGAGAGGAGTAGGAGGAGGCGGGGGAGGTGGAGGCCGGGCGCAGCCTGGCCCGGGACCTCGCGCGTAGTCGGCAGCCTGGCGGGCGGGGTGCCTGGCGGCGGCCCCGACCTGGCTTCGGGGTGGGGTAGCGTGGGGTTAAGGGACCCCGGCTGGCGTCTGCGGCTGGGGCTGTGTCGGGGCTGGGGGCGGGGGACCCGCGGTCCTGCGGTGGCCGCCCGGGCGCGGGAGGCTCGAAGCCGGCACTGCGGTGCAGTAGATCACGGCTCCGCCGCCGCCGCCCAGACACCGGAGAGCGGGCTCCTCGGGGCGCTCGGAACCCGGCGGCCGGGCAGCAAGTGGCTGCTCGCAGCCTCTGAACTTCACGCAGCAGCGTGTCGGGCCGAGCCCGGCCGGGTGCGCGCGGGGGCCGCGGGAGCTGGGGGTGGGCGGGGAGGCTGAGCGCCTGCGGCCGCCGCTGCAGCAGGCGGGGAGCTGCGCGCAGGCTGCGCGGCCGGAAGGGCAGAAGCTCGCGAGCTCGGCGGCGCAGGAGGTCGCCCCCAGCTGGGACCCCGGGAGGTCGCCCCTAGCTAAGACACCGGGGTGGCAGCTGAGGCTCGAGGAGTGGCTTTCGCCTCCCGGGCGCGCTGGGTGCTGCAGTGGACGCTGCCTCCGTCCTGGAGCCCTAGTCCCTGTGTTTAACTCTACAGTCTGCTCACCATCCCCCTCCAGCACCGTCCTTTTACCCTTCTCTTGTTTAACTCCTCCGCGAGGAGTAACTGTTAACCGGTACCCACCGCCATCCCCAGAGCTGCCCAGGGAAGAACATCGTGGTCCCCTCCTTGTGTGCATTTCCAGTTCAGCTAGGAGCTGTCCCCCCACCCCTTGGCATTCAGCCTGGCACTTCCTGATGTCTGGTCCCTACATGTGTCTGCCTCAGAGTTCCACGGGACTTCCCTAAGTGGGACAGGCCCAGGGCTGCAGATGGGCGTCTAGGGGTTACCACTTCACACATTCAAACGGGAATCCGAAGTTTTTTGGGTCCTGCTGGGAAAAGATTCAGCTCCCTTCTGAGAGAGGACACTGGTCCAGCTAGACCTTGCAATCAGGGCTTGTACAATACTGGGGAGTGGGGACTAATTCAAGCAGGAACACGAAGTTACTTTACAGGTCTTTACAGTTTTTTTTTTTTTTTTTGTAAACAGTTTTATTGGATACACTAATTTCTTGCTATGCATAATTGAGCTTCTTTTTATTACACTTCCCCCATCCCACCCACTTCCAGCTCTCTGGAATAAAGTAGTTTTATTTATTTATTTCCTTTCAAGGCGTTTTGGAAGGTATGAAACAAATGACCATTGAGTTTGCAACTTATGAATGCTAAAGAACTTGCCTGCAAAGTGATGGGTTAAATCACAGTGTGTCTAAAAACATCACCAAATATTTTAATAGGATAGTTTAGTCTTTAATTGGCAGGGATTCAAGTACCCACCTGGGAGTTGTGGCATTTAGTAGTTTTAAAAAATGGGGCGTTAATGGGTCACAGGATTTATCTCACCTTCTAAAAGTTTAGGCCTTTTAAACTTGAATCAAACTCATGCCCAGTACCTTCCTTCAGTATCACAGCTCCATTCTCTGCTATTGACACAAACCTCAAACCTTTTGCAAAGTTTTTATTCCAAGGTAGCAGTATTACTAAGAACTTAATTGGGTAATTAAAATACAACAAAGACTAAAATCCTTTTAACTGTTCAAAATAAAAGGAGCAGATTGACTACTACCTATTACGTTATCTTAAATCTAAAAAGAAGAATCAACTGGCTTCGAAGTAAAAAGTGTGGCAGAATATTGCAAAGTGCCAGTGAGAATTTGGGGGTAAGCATCTCCTATTATTTCAAGGATAAATACGAGATTAACTCCCCCCCCATCTCTGCAAGTCATGAAATACTCATTATTCCCAGTTCTTTAAGTTGTCAACAAGTGTGGGTAGTTTAGTCAATAGTTTCTGGGGGGAATTAAAAGCATGCTATAAAATCAGGTTCATGTGAAAATAACCAGGTAACAGGCATGGATATAAGGGTGAAATTATTAATCTTCCAAAAGTTATTACTTAGCATGTTTTGTAGTTATATAAAATACAATTGGGAAAGAGCATGCAAAATGTATTTGTGCTGTTATACATTTAAATAATAAGCTTTAGTAGCTTAAAAATCCTGCACATAAACTTACTGTCTTTATAAAAACACCTAATAGCTCACAGTACAATTATCAGAGAACACACACACACACACACACACACACACACACACACACACTTAAATGTCCTACTTTCTCCTTTTCTAGCAGAGCAATAGGTTTGCATTTAGAATAAATGTTACCTGCTAAAACTTTCACTGTATGAGTCATGCAAGGTGACAGTATTTTAGGCAAGTCATTAAAAAGAGAATACTAAGTCCAAGGCACTTATTTTGCCTGGAGAGGGTTTGATACATTTCTTTGAACCCATGTGACAGTTTGAACTGACCAGTGAATACCACAGGCTGGTTTGCAGAATAATCTAGGTCGCCAAAAGGAAAAGTATGGTGGAAAGAAGAAACTTTACAGTAAAGATAAATACTCAGGTCATGTCATTGCTATTTCTTTGAGCACACAGTATAAGACAAGTAAAAGAAGCCACAGACTTTCAGATACCTATGCCTCTTAAAGTACAAGATAGCCCCAAACCTTCATGGCTTGCTAGGATGTTGGAAAGCTGGGACTTTTAAGATAGATCCCAATCTAGGAGTGTGTCCAGGACAAGGAGGATACCAGGAAGTACATGTCCCAGATCCAGTTGTACAAATCACTTTGAAACCATCCCACAGACTGGTTGCTCTGAGTGGCTCTTTTTCAGTCTCCCTCTCTGCCACGTAACTGCCATGGAACAAGTTGGGGCTGGTGGAATCTATTAGCACTTCTTCCTACTTGTCTGAGTGCCTTTCCGCTCTGCAATTGCCTTTCGCTGAGCTGCTTTAGGTGTCAGAAACACCTGGTAAGGCACTGATATCATGTAAACATATTTTTGTGTGTGTGTGTGAAAGCTGCTTGCTTGACTTCTAGTGCTGCCATAGTATTTGGAACTGAGAAAATAGGGAGAGAGGGGATTAAGAAAAGTGAGCACATTTTACTCCTCATTTTCAGCCTGCTGAGTCCTCCTAGGCTTTGGAAGAGCTGGTTGAGCCACTGATGTGCCACAGAATCTCCATTTCTAAACACAGAATATATAGCAAACAAATGCATCAAATTCAGATTGCATAGCTAGAGCATCAGACAGGTGTAAAGTTCTGAAAACGTACTTGGTGCTGGAGTGGGATTCCAGGTAAGATGAGCTGGCCTTGGACTCTGTCCAGGAAGCCTGAGTTACTGTGATAGCAAAAATGAGTTTTGTGCTGAACAATGCCACTCCATGAACCAAAGTGTGACATTTTAGACAGGCTTCCAAGTACTAAATTGTTGGAAGAGTGGATTTTTCCTTTTTGAAATTTATATCCATGTTAACAAGTATGAAATTTAGTGCATAATAATATAAACTTAGTTTTACAATGAAGGTGATTTTGCCTTTACTCACATATAGCCTGTTCTCACTCACACAGCATCCTTCACTGAGAAAATTTGCTCAAATAGTGCACTGCTTTCAGAAGGTGCCAAAGCTAATTCTATGCTCTATGCTTCACATTTCCCACAGTTAACCATCCCTTTACAGCATTTGAACCCAGTCTTCCATGATTCAGCAACACAAACATTGGAGACATTTTTATATTATGGTAACGAGGACAACAACCAATGTTTCCACTCCTTTGCACATTTTGGCATCAAACCTCATTCAAGTTGATTCGTAAGTTTTCTATAAATACCATGTCAATGTCTCAAAATGGAAGCATTTATTCAAAATAGTTTCTGTGCTTCAAGGGAAACAGTTGGGATGTTTGAACAGTACAGCAGGAACTCCTCTATTAAATTTAAACTAATTATTGTCTCGTGCCTACATTTTCAGTAAAACCTTTCAGCCTACCTTGGTCCCA